CACTTATTCCCCTGCCACATGGCTCAGGCTTTTATATGTATGTTTACCATGGAGAATATGGGCCATCTTCTATTGATTGAAATGAGTGACTAATGTTTTGAAATTGCAGAAGTGGGGAAAGGGAAGGAATTTAACAATACCAGAAAAAGTAGTAAGCTATGGAAATTTCTGTTTTTCTTGTAGACCTCCACCATCTAAAAAAATGAAGCTTTTTGGATATAAAGAAGATCCGTTTGTTTTTCTTCCTGAAGAAGAGCCTTTGTTTCCTCCTATTCAGTAAGATGTATTTTTTTATTTTCCATTTAATGGTTTCCTTGCTAAATTCGAGTATTTATCAATAAGATTTAACACCTTAAAGAAAATAAAATGGAACGGCACATGTAGTATTTTTATATGCAGTGTGTTAACTGGGTGATGTTGGGCCAGTCCAACTTACTTTCCAGGATGGTTGTTGCAAAAAGTAGGAAGGAGTATGTATATGCCTCCTTGAGCTCCTTGAAAGGCAGGATAAAAATCTAATAAATGAGTAAATAGGTAGTCTGGTGGAAACTGAAAGTAAATTCTGGAGATATATGCTGTGTGGATATGGTTGACATCTAAAGATGGCTTGTTTGTCTTTTAATATTTATTAAATCAAAATCTCCCCATAGTCCTACTATTTTTATTTATTTCATATAAAATGTTAACTGGGTGATTCCTAGGGGAATTTTTAAAAAAATAAACAGACCATCAACAAACATTGAAAGTAAAAAACATAATAAAGGGCAAATACGCAAACAAAACTACATAAACCAGTATTTTTAAAATGGATAAGTACATATTTGTGCATTTGAAATCCTAAGGAGTGATATGAAATTTTAAATATCTTGTCAGTATTTGTGGAAGGATATATTTTTTGGATCACAGCTTTGTATCCAAAGGTGCCTTTCTGCTAATAACAAAGTGTCATTTGTTCTGAGAAATAACATTTCTGATATAGCAGAATATGTGTCAGATAAGACCTTCTGTTTGGACAAACCTATTGTTAGATTTTTCTAGCCAGCAAAAGCACCCTTTCTCAACCTAGTGCCTTCCAGGTATGTTAGACTGCAACTTCTGTTATGCAGCTTTTATGATGATTTGGTCACCATATCTTTACGCTGCATTGTAACCTCACTTCTCCAATTTTTTGTAGTACTGCACTGTTAGTTTCACATAATAATATACTATACTTTCTCTTTGTGTTCATTGAATCCAAGTCATGTGATTTTGAGAAGAAAAAAAATGACTCCCAATAAAGTAAAATGTATATTGGAGCTTAACTTAAATATACTGTGTTTACTCATTCAATTACAGTTGGATAAGTTCCATTAAAATCAATAATTGTACAGCTTTTTAAAAAAAGAATATACAGAGCTGTTTATATTATGTAAAGTTGCAATAGGATGATTGTACTTAATACATGTAACTATTTTCAGGAGCTTTTATGCACTGGATCCTTCATTCCCTAAGATGAATTTGTTAACGCGTACTCAAGAAGGAAAGAAAAGGCAGGTGTATATGGTTTCCAAGGAGATACGGGATGTACTGTTAAACAACAGTGAAAAGCTAAAGGTTTGATTTGTACTTCTGTGTTCAGTAAGAATGCTTATTCAGAATGCTGTTAAGAGGAGTTGAGAATCTTCTCTTGAAAATTGTTGTCTTTTGTTATGATTTTCATTTGATTCAAAAGGTGCACTTCTACTTATCAATTTTAGCGCAGTTGTGAGATAACAGAAAAGCTTATCTTAATCAATCCATCAATTTTATTTTGGTCATAGACCAGCATATAACCAATGACATAGCTCTTACGCTACAGTAAGTATAAAAACAAAAATCAT